TTTCTTTTATCCAAGGAAATAAATTTGGAAGGGAGAAAGTCAAGACGGTGACTGGAAAGGGATAGCAGTTCCTCTACGTGATGGATGAGGAGAAATTAAATGCAGTCTCCATCTGAGCAACGAGGGAGTGGCATGGATTTCTGTGTACATTAACGATTGATTTTTCAACCTGATATCATCTCACACGCATCAGCAAAGGAGTAGAGGGGAGTTTATAAGTCAAAAAGTAGACGAAAAAAAACCACACCACAATTAGATTTTTTTTTGAAGTCTCATGATTTTCAGGGGGCCTAACTCATGATTTTGGAAGTCTTAATGTTGGCAGTACTGGGTTGTTGGGTTTTTTGGGTATAAAATAATTGTGTCTGTAACATCAAAATATGCTGCATCTGGGATTTGCTCAAAACCACTGGGCTCTGTCCTCGGCTGCACCAACTTCACACTCAGCGCTGATGAGGAGACTGAAGAAACTGGTTATAAGCCACCTCTGCACTCCCCTGATCCTGGGCCACGTGGGGGACAAAACGGCCTCTGGTCTAACACAGAGGAACCTCAGGGCTGCCCCAAATTACCCCAGATGCTGTGCTGGCCTAGAAGAGGTGGAGCACCGTGCACTCTGCCCTGGACATACAGCTCCATGCTCCTCCACACCCCCTACGTAGAGGCAGGGCGATGTAGGGAGAGGGTGATACAGAGTTCTCTGTACCTGCTCTCTGTCACCAGAGGTTAATCCTGAGTCAGGGGGATCCTTAGCTGCCCCTTTAGGGCAGCTGCCCAGCTGCTGTCCCTGCTCAACAGGGGCTGAAGCCTGAGTCCACTGCGTGCCCTGCGTGCCATCCCACCACCAACCTCAGCCTGGTCCAGTCCACACAAGAGATCCACTTCCTGGACACTACAGTGCTAATAAACAATGGTCACATAAACACCACCCTATACCGGAAACCTACTGACCGCTATTCCTACCTGCATGCCTCCAGCTTTCACCCTGATCACACCACATGATCCATCGTCTACAGCCAAGCTCTGCGATACAACCGCATTTGCTCCAACCCCTCAGACAGAGACAAACACCTTCAAGATCTCTGTCAAGCTTTCTTACAACTACAATACCCACCTGCAGAAGTAAAGAAACAGATTGATAGAGCCAGAAGAGTTCCCAGAAGTAACCTACTACAGGACAGGCCTAACAAAGAAAATAACAGAACGCCACTAGCCATCACCTTCAGCCCCCAACTAAAACCCCTCCAACGCATTATTAAGGATCTACAACCTATCCTAAAGGATGACCCAACACTCTCACAAGTCTTGGGAGACAGGCCAGTCCTTGCCTACAGACAGCCCCCCAACCTGAAGCAAATACTCACCAACAACCACATACCACACAACAGAACCACTAACCCAGGAACCTATCCTTGCAACAAAGCCTGTTGCCAATTGTGCCCACATATCTATTCAGGGAACACCATCACAGGGCCTAATAACATCAGCCACACTATCAGAGGCTCGTTCACCTGCACATCCACCAATGTGATATATGCCATCATGTGCCAGCAATGCCCCTCTGCCATGTACATTGGTCAAATTGGACAGTCTCTACGTAAAAGAATAAATGGACACAAATCAGATGTCAAGAATTATAACATTCATAAACCAGTCGGAGAACACTTCAATCTCTCTGGTCACGCAATCACAGACATGAAGGTCGCTATCTTAAAACAAAAAAACTTCAAATCCAGACTCCAGCGAGAAACTGCTGAATTGGAATTCATTTGCAAATTGGATACTATTAATTTAAGCTTAAATAGAGACTGGGAGTGGCTAAGTCATTATGCAAGGTAGCCTGTTTCCTCTTGTTTTTTCCTACCCCCCGCCCCCAGATGTTCTGGTTTAACTTGGATTTAAACTTGGAGAGTGGTCAGTTTGGATGAGCTATTACCAGCAGGAGAGTGAGTTTGTGTGTGTATGGGGGTGGGGGGGATGTGAGAAAACCTGGATTTGTGCAGGAAATAGCCCGACTTGATTATGTAAAGAGTTGTCACTTTGGATGGGCTAGCACCAGCAGGAGAGTGAATTTGTGTGGGGGGGTGGAGGGTGAGAAAACCTGGATTTGTGCTGGAAATGGCCCACCTGATGATCACTTTAGATAAGCTATTACCAGCAGGACAGTGGGGTGGGAGGAGGTATTGTTTCATATTCTCTGTGTATATATAAAGTCTGCTGCAGTTTCCACGGTATGCATCCGATGAAGTGAGCTGTAGCTCACGAAAGCTCATGCTCAAATAAATTGGTTAGTCTCTAAGGTGCCACAAGTCCTCCTTTCCTGTAGGATGCTGTGATCCTCCCTGGTACCCGGAGTTGAACTCACAACATCAGTGTTACCAGGCACAGACGAAAGGGAGCCGGCTGCTACTTACTGTAGATTCTGCAGTTTGCAGTTCGGGTGTTTTAGCCCCTCACACAGCAGCCGCACTCCGGCCTCTCCCAGTTCGTTATACCCCAGGTGCAGCTCTGTCAGGCTCCGGCTGGTTCTGAGAACAGCAGCGAGATCCCCACAGGCAGCGGCTGTGACACGGCACCACTTCAAGCTGCAGGAGAGAGAAAGGCAGAGAAGGGGGATCAATGCGTGAATGGGGCTCGTGACGGCTGCTCTGACAGGTGGCCCCACCCACCAGCCACTCTGTCTGACCAATCAGCATCCAGAATGAGTAAGACGTCCTGTTACAGACTCTGTCCTGAGTCCCACCCCTTGTCCAGTGAGAAACCAGCAGCGGGTGGGACTTCCTGTCTAAACTCCACCCCTTGCCCTTCACCAATCAAAAGTGAGAATGGCCTAGACACTTCAAATCTCTGCCACTGACCAATGAGGAAGAAGGTTTGGGGTAAGACTCCTTCCTAAGCCCCGCCCCCTCACCCTTTCCACTGACCAACCAGAATTTAAAAAGTTGCCCTTTAAGTCCTGCCCACTCAGGTCTGGACCAATCAGGCTGGACTTGGCACTGATCAGCCCCGGGATGGTGCGACCCAATCGGAGCAGCCCCATCGCTCCAGGGAGGTTGTAGGGGGAGCCCTCCCTCCCCCCCAGGCAGCTGGGCCAGGCTCAGAGCAGGCGGAGTTGGGAGATCCTGACCCTCCGCGCCCCCGGCACTAGCTCTGCTGCTCCCCTGCAGGACACAGATGCCTCCTGTCTCTGCCCCCAGCTCTGAACCTCAGGCCTGGGGAGGGGAGGCAGCTGCGAGGCCCAGCACTGGCAGCGTCACACCCACCTTCCTCTGAGACCAGGGACCGAAGCGGGGGAGACAAAGAGAAGAAGATCCCCCTGGCAGGGGGTTTCCCAGGGTGTGGGGAGAGAAGAGCCCCTGAAAAGGGGGCGACTGTGTGACCCTGTTGGCAGGGCCTGTTCCAGAGTCTCTGGTGAGGTTATAAAAGCAGAAGTTCTGCTGGTTTCTGGAACCCCCCTGCAGAGCCTGGGCTCCTGATGGAGCTGCCAGCCAGCTGAGTGGGTAACCATGGCAGCAGGTTATAACCATGTGCACTTCAAGGACCACCCGCAAGTACGGCTGTCTTTGTCCTCCTTCAAGGCTTCATAATGAGCCCCCTGCACACCCAAGCATGATCCCACTCCCGTCTGCTAAATCTTGCACACACGTCGAGAAACCCCTTCCACCAGAGCTGTCACCTGCACGGCCTCCTTCATCACCTCCTATGCCTTAAAATATTGTTACTCTGCCCAATGGGGAAGTGCGATGGGACCCCCGGGGTGCAAACTGTGACTGTCGGACCGCTGTGCCCCCTTTACTCCCTATTCTGGGGTGTCTGTCACAATGCCTTACTGGTGGCAAGCAGCAAACCCCTGCAGGTGCTGTTACCACTCAGTACAACTGCGTGTGTAGCCCCACACCCAGCTAGATTGCGTGAATGCTCCCAGAGCCACTCATGAACCACAGAGAAAGGCATCAACCAATTCCCCCCAGCTCCAAGAGTTGTAGTTTAGGAATATATTGTCTTGCACTGCTGAAGACCCTTTCTTGAGAAATGTCAGTTTATTAATTGGAAATTAAATGGAAAGTGGATAATACACCAGTCTTTGTAACCTGAGCAGATTTCCCAAGCACTTCAGTCAAACTCACTGGTAAGGATAAACATTTAACTAAGTTGATTGATTACAAAAGGTCAATTTTAAGTGATTAGAAGTGATAGGCAAAAAGTCAGAGTTAGTTACCAAAGAAAACAAAACAAGTGCACAGTCTGAACCTTAAACCTGTAAGACACCAGGTAGTATTTAGAGCAAGCAGTTTTCTCACCCCACTGGATGTTAAAGTTCATAATACACAGGTTTCACCCTGGAAACCTGGGTCTGTCCCCTCTGTTGGAGTCTACAGTGCGTCTTTGTTGCTTGCACTGCAGGTGGGGGAAGGAAAAAAAAAAGGTGACGCATGGGGCCACTGGGTTCTGTTTTATACCCTCAGTCCATGTGCTTAGAGACCACAAGTCCAGGCCCGTCTGGTGGGCGTTGCTGAGTCACCAGGCAAGGTTGAGCCATTCCCCTGGTGTGTCCTTGTGCAAGTGAGTCATTGAATTGTAACTCCCTTGCTGGACAATGTGGTTAATGGATGTTCGACACCCGCACAGGCGTTGGGTACACCCCTGGTTAGTGCCTTTGGGGAGCTAGTATCTGGGCACTTTCCAAACCCCCAGCATATTTTAGTGACAACCAGACAACACAATTCTCATAACTTCATATGCATTAATGATATACAAATTTAGATGGAACAATGGGTTTCAGCAGATCATAACCTTTCCCATAATACCTTCCATGGAATGCTTTGTATGCAATATCACAATTATATACAAATGATGAATTTGGGGGTTACAGGGTGCTCCCCCAGGGTGTAGAGTGTCACAGGAGGGAAATCTCTACATTTGGGAGAGAAAAAAGCCCCTGAATTTGTACAAGGGAGAGAAGCCCCCATGCCTTGGGGAGCCCCTAGAGTCTGTAAGGCTTTGTTGAGCCCCCAAGGTATTTTGAAGGCAGGAAAAGAGGAGCCTGTAATGGAGGGAGGGGGAGAGATTCTAAGACTGGGTCGAAGAGGGGGAGAAAAAACCCAAAGGTTTATGTGGGAAGCTGAGGGCATGAACCCTAATTTGGAGAGGGGTGAAGAGAAGAGGGCATCCAAGTTGAAACAGAAGAGAAGAACCCCACAAGATTTAAAGCTGAGAGAAAGAGAAAGAGAGAGAGAGAACACACCTGAGAAGGTGAGGAGAAAGAGAGTTCATCATTCCTGAGCTCAGAGGCAAGAATAACCTGATTTTTCTTTCTAAGAAAATGTTAAGTGTAAAATAAGTTTTCAGTCCTGATTTAACTATAAATCTGAATGCAAACTCAATCCTAGTGCTGCTCATGCTCCTCCATACATTCTCCCATCGACTCAAGTTGAGGCTGAGTTTTAGAATATAGTTGTGTGTGCATCTGTTGGCAAATAATCATATCTATTTAGGGTCTTGTGGTTTTAATGCACTTCTATATTAACAATATGTAATTTGAGACATTAGAAAGTTATTCTAGTGCAGAACTCCAGATGAACACCAGGAATGCTCTAATTATTCTAATTGTGTAGAATTTTGCCTTTGAAATGTCTGAAGACCTTCAAATATACTGGAAATGGCACCTGACATTTCACAAATATTTGGAAGATGGCCACCCTCCTCCTCCAGGCAACTCTACCTGGATTTTGTTTTGCCTCTTCATAGCTTTCACATGTTTGTTTGAGTCTGGTTTGGTCAGTAGTCAGAGCTTTTTGAATTTTTTTGACACACTTCAACAAATCACGCATATCATGGTCAGAAAATCTATCAGTAGTACTGGCCCTAATTTTTAAATGCTGATTGTTAAGTAGCTCTACTTTAATAAACCATAACCATATAAAAGAGAAGTCGTGTCCAATCCAAAAAGCACATTTCTGAGCCCAAAAAACACAAGTGAATGAGCACAGTTCTCTGCAGGAGAAAGGAGGCTCTTGTAGTTAAAGCCCTGGATTAGAACTCAGAGATCTGTGGTTCGGCACTTGGCTCTACCACCCACTCCCTCATGTGACTTTGGGCAAGTCACTCTATCTTTATGGGTCTCAATTTTCCATCTGAAAAATGGGAAAAATCATATTCCTTCCCCCATCCTTTGTCTTTCTGGTCTCTTCTAGCAGGGTGATGCTATAGTTAAAGTTTAGACCAAGTTTCTGTTTAAAATTCAACTCTTCTAACTGTTTTAAAATCCACATGGCAACTCAGATTGCCTTGAAAGTTGGTGAGACTCATGAGTGCCTGGGATTCTGTAAGTGTTCCAAACTTTTAGATGTTTGACCAAGTTGTTTCCAAAATACGGTCTCAGGGAAAAAAACAGCTTTTGTTAAAGGTGACAGCTTTCAGCAGCCTTTTTGTGCTCACAGGGTATGTCTACACTGCAGTTAGACACCCACGATTGGCCTGTGCCAGCTGATTTGGGCTCCGGGGATTCAGGTTCTGTTGAATTGCAGTGTAGACTTCCAGGTTCTGGCTGCCAACCCAAGCTCTGGGATCCTCTAACCTCAAAAGTCCTAGAGCCCAGGCTCCAGCCAGTGCCCGGAAACCTACAATGCAATTAAACAGCCCTCGCAAGCCCAAGTCAGCTGGCACAGGCAGCCACGTATTTTCAATTGCAGTGTGCAGTGTATTTTCAATTGCAGAATGGCTACGCAGGTGGTGTCAGAGAGAAGGCTTTGGATTCTTCGACCATGGGATGGTGTTCCAAGAAGGAGGAGTGCTAGGCAGAGACGGGCTCCACTTAACGAAGAGAGGGAAGAGCATCTTCGCGAGCAGGCTGGCTAACCTAGTGAGGAGGGCTTTAAACTAGGTTCACCGGGGGAAGGAGACCAAAGCCCTGAGGTAAGTGGGAAAGCGGGATACCGGGAGGAAGCACAGGCAGGAATGTCTGTGAGGGGAGGGCTCCTGCCTCATACTGGGAATGAGGGGCGATCAACAGGTTATCTCAAGTGCTTATATACAAATGCAGAAAGCCTTGGAAACAAGCAGGGAGAACTGGAGGTCCTGGTGATGTCAAGGAACTATGACGTGATCGGAATAACAGAGACTTGGTGGGATAACTCACATGACTGGAGTACTGTCATGGATGGTTATAAACTGTTCAGGAAGGACAGGCAGGGCAGAAAAGGTGGGGGAGTAGCACTGTATGTAAGGGAGCAGTATGACTGCTCAGAGCTCCGGTACGAAACTGCAGAAAAACCTGAGTGTCTCTGGATTAAGTTTAGAAGTGTGTGCAACAAGAGTGATGTAGTGGTGGGAGTCTGCTATAGACCACCGGACCAGGGGGATGAGGTAGATGAGGCTTTCTTCCGGCAGCTCACGGAAGCTACTGGATCGCATGCCCTGATTCTCATGGGTGACTTTAATTTTCCTGATATATGCTGGGAGAGCAATACAGCGGTGCATAGACAATCCAGGAAGTTTTTGGAAAGCGTAGGGGACAATTTCCTGGCGCAAGTGCTAGAGGAGCCAACTAGGGGGGGCGCTTTTCTTGACCTGCTGCTCACAAACT